TTCGTGGTGATTAAGTAGTAGAGCCATGCTGCAGCTATATAATGGTTGTAACATGAATAGTTGGGCTTGACCGTGGCCTACCACGCTCTCACAGAATACCAGTATAAAATAGCAACTTAATGCTGCTGTGTTTCGTATGGTGGAATATAGAGAAACGGAGACCCTTTTTACTGCAAACGAGGAATTCCTTCTTTATTCTCAGGGGTGACAAACCATCTACATTTTAAATGGAACTAATTTCTACGGATTTTGTCGCGTTTAATTTAACTGTTTAGTTCCCAACCTTTCGGGTGCTTTGCAGCACCCATGGTCACAGAAGGGACTAAGGTGTTTGACGTCCCGATGTCATAGTTAGCCCGGCTACCTTCAGTTTTTGAATATTAATTTTTTGTCCGATCTACGCAGAATGAGCTTAGAGTATCTTGAAGTCTTGCAGTGGTGTGCTTGGGTTTGGATTAAATTTTATTAATTATAGGACACCAAGTAGATGGCATTACCCATCCATATTCTCTATTGAAATTAGGATGTTTTTTAATTTCAATAGCCTCGCGAATCATTCTTCGTAGGAATCTGTATTCTTTTGCGAGGATTTGTAGTCTATCAACTCTAATGTAATGGCGGGGACGAACTTGAACATGTTCATACACTGCAGACTTCCCGGAACCTCAGTGCTTCTAGTCAGCTATATATCTTTCATGCGGGTTTTAATAGATATTTTTGTTTGTCCTATGTAAAAGCGACCACATTCACAATCCAGCTTGTACACTTCTTCTTCATCTTGTAGAGGGATATGACACTTGACGGATGGTAAATATTGACTAATCTTCTTCAGCGGCTCGAAGTATGTTTAATGAAAGCTCGCTTCAAGTTGTAGCCAAGCTTATCTGTGACTCTTCTGATATAGGGTAGTACAGCAGGCACACGCTCGATTGTAGCCGGTTTGACTCTGTCACTGTGACGTAGGCGTGAGAGCCGAAGCTTGTTATCTTGCAATACTTGCTCGACGTGCTGAAGCTCAGTGGCCAGATGTTTTCTGTCACAGATCCCTCGTGCTCTCTGAAACAACGATTTTCCCACGGTACCAAACTCTGATGGATGATGGTACGATTCACCATTTAAATATTGGTTGGTATTGGTCTTTTTCCTATACATAGTGTGACCAACAGTGTTATCAGTATTTCGGATGACTAAAACATCTAGGAAAACTAAAGAATTGTTTGCCATTGCGAATAGTATTTTAGAGTTTATGGAATTAAGGTGGTCTAAAAATGCAATTACTTTGTCAAATGGTAAAATTGTGAAAGTATCGTCTACGTGCCGCTTGTAGAATATTGAATTTACAGGAGCAGTAAGAAGGGCTTTCTCCTCAAAGTCCTTCATGAATACGTTGGCGACTACGGCAGATACAGGCGAGCCCATCGCCACACCATCTGCTTGCTTGTAGAACTCTTCCTTACACAATAGGTAGCTAGATGTGAGACAGTATTTGAGTAATGCTGCATATTCTCCAGGCATGCATCACCATCAGGCGGATTGTCTGTTCGTTTGTCGCCCTTGTACAATAAAAAAGATAATTTTACATCTTCTACTTACGTTCGTTCGGTGGTTCTTCTCCATCAAACCGTAGCAGTTAACTTTCATATTGCTGGGTGGATTACCTTTAATTGCCATTCTTAATTTTTGGTTTATTAGTCACTTTCTGCCGCATAGTAAAGTGCCTCAAACCAGTAAGCTCATTGCGTCTTAAGAGAGTCCACTACCCCGTACCGTTCCGTGGGTCTCGTAAGAAGCAATAGAGAGAAATGTAACTGGAGATGTGCAGCAGCATGTTCCTGATGAGAAATTCAATTATAATAAAAAAGACGTTTGCTAACCAGTCAACTATATAAAAGGGAGGTCTATGTTTTTTTTATAGGATAGGGTGACAAACTGGCATGCAGTCCACCTGATGGTAAGTGGTTGCTGTGGCCTATAGACATCTACATTTATCCTCGTTTGAGAATCAAAATGCAGATGCGTTGTCACCCGTAAGGACGAAGATGGATTGCCTCTTTTCCAGTAAAAAGGGTGTCCGGTTCTTAACACTCACCAAACGAAACACAGCAGTGTTAAGCTGCCATTTTACGCTGGTATTCTGTGAGAGCGTGGTCCTTGCCCGGTCGAGCCGACCCATTCGTGCTACAACTATACTACTAATATAGCTGCATCATGGCTCTACCACGTACAAAATGTTTACCCGGGGTCTTTTAATTTCCTATAATAATGATGAATGATGATGATCACTCACACACAGACATAAGTCTCACTCATACAGAGAAAAGTCACTTTTAAATCGTAATATTAAGTTTACTGTGATATTTCTCTGACAAAAGGACAAGTTCTGGAAATATCATGTCCGTTAAAATAGCTCCGAAGCTACATTGAAATTTTTACGCGCGAGAAAAATTCCTTTTTCAGAACTGAACGTGATCAAACTTGTTAAAATGGCGAATGACTTAGAAAATTCAGAAATATTTTCTTAAAAGGTTTATCCAGTATGAGATAAGTAAATCCTTATAAATTAAGATCAGTTACTTTCATACGAAATAGTATTAAAATAGGTTTTACATTTTATTTATTAAAAATACGACACAACGACACTTGGACTTTATCCTGTATCTTGGAGACTTTTTACATACATAAATTTCACATTACAAACATTCACATTGAACAATTAGTTTTAGGCTATTCAAACATTTGTTCCTCGCAGGATTCAAATATGCGGCCGGAAGCGGTTTCTTTTTCATAATAATGAAGTGCCCAGCGAACTTGACAGCCCAATGAACCCGAGAGGACAATAATTTTACGGTTGTCTTAAATCATCGTTACAGCTTTGAGGTGGCTTGTGGGTTTCTAAGAATCTAAAATATGGGCTTAATTTATAGCAGAGGGGCCGCAGTCGCATTCCATATAGAGTGTGACCACCCGTTGAAATTGAGGTCGACCAAACTGGGATTTAAGTCGTTAAGAGTCGGACGTAACACGTGCTTCTCCTAGGGTAGCTGAGTTTCCCTTTAGAAGATTTCCCTACATTTTCTGCCAATAAGTTCGTTTGGGCAGGTATCACCCATTTACGTATTCCTGCCGCTAAACGGCAGTATGTGCACTCCTGTGTTCTGGGCTCAATGATGTAGAAAACCTTTTTAATTAAAAGCTGTGAGGTATTCCATCTTAGTTATTAAAGGTGACAACTCACTTGAAGTTTTTTTTAAGTTAATTGAAGGTGTTCATGGTGTGCATTAGCCGTTGGCTCCTTGGCGCAGTGGCTTGGCAATGAGTTGTTGCGCTGGGGGCCGCGGGTTCGAATCCCGCACGGAACAAGTATTTGTATGGCCTACAAATAATTGTTCCGGGTCGGGATGTTTGTTCTCGTGCAATATATGTTTGTAAACTACCTCCACGATACAGGAGAAAATCCTAGTGTAGGGGGTAACGTTTTTTAAATGATCGAAAAAATGATGGAAAATCGAAAAGTAGCCACTTACCATCAGTGGTAAGTTCCTTCGTCTCTTCTATTTAAAAAGATGTTTTAATACTAAACTACTCACTAACTTAAACCGCTGGATTATGGAAGTTAGTGGTAACGTTATGTAAAATTCATGCTTGACAGAAGTTTCTCTTGAAGTAGTTTAGGTTTAAAGTTTAATACAAAGTCTCGAACATGGAGTTTTATTGCACTAGCTACCTTTTCCGCAACGAGATACTATGAGTAAATACACGATAATAATAATTTTTGACAAACTAACAAACGAGCACAGTCAACCTGAGGGTAAAATGCTGTGACTCATAGACATCTACATCTAGCTTCGACTAAAAATCTAAATACAGATAAATTCTCATCACTGAATAAGATGGAATAACAAATAGCAACATGTTCTCCTTTGATATTATTCAATATTAGTGACCCACCCACGCTTTTCCCGGGTTGAACGAATATATAGTCTTTAATAGTTACATGCATACATTTTTTGATCTTAAATCGATTCTCCGCATTTCCTGATCTAAAGAAACCAACATGTACAGTCACGCCGTACACTACCATAATTATTTTGTCTCACAAATGTGTTTATATAAAACTGGTTGCTGTAGGTTATCCTTACAAGATAAACGTACGATGCTGTCTTTTTTTATATTCAAGAAGAACAACGTATATTACCTTTATGCAACTTTAACTATTTACGCAGCGGACCCGTGCAAGCTCTCAAGGGGTACGACTTTCCCAACTACATTCCGTCATTATTTATATTATACAAAGTCGTTATTTCGTATACTGTATCATTTGTGTTTTTGGGGAGATTAATTGAAACGATACAATAGCATGCATTCGACTGTTTATTTCCACCTACCTTCATTACAACCAAACATTATCTCATCTACATTTACCCACATCCCCCTCCTTAAATAAATCAGTAAGCAAATGAGCACCATACATAGTACATCATTTATGCAATAAAAACCAGCAATGTTATCGTTACAGATAATATTCGCTGTTCAATATTTTCATTTATGTTATATGAATTTAGTTTATTTACATACACATTTAGTTTATTTACACTTACAATAAAAAGTATACTTTTTATAATTGATGTAATAATAGATACAATCTCTTAATAAACATTTAGATTTATAGAGAAGAAACATTAATTTGACTAGGAGACATCAATTGCAATAATCATAATTTATGAGCGAATGTATAAAATCCTATCTTTTTTTTTATGTATACATGTTAAGATTAACCTCACTTAAGATTATGGAGTTGCTTTAATTTCAGTGAATAAATTAAATAGTATTTAAATTTTATTTGATACAATCCTTTCTTACCTACATTTAATACATACAATGGGATTTAATATATTTGAGTAAAGTAAATAATATTTCCATTTTTGAATGATACAAGATTTTATAACTACTTCTTACTTCCTGTTTTTTTTTTGTGTTGCTTGTCGCACTGAGCGACTTGTTCAGGAATATCCCCACCGATCAGGAACTTTCACTACCCTGCCGGATTGAGTAACGTAAGCATTAGTAGTAGTAGTAGTATATGGAGCTGTGGTTGCTGTGGTGGATATATTGAATGAACGGGGCGGGGCACTGGAGCTGGCGGGAACGGTATGCGGGCGCGGTGATGTCGGCGCGTTGGGTGTTGTTGCTAATACGTCATCAAAATCATATGCTTGTGTAACGGTTTTATTTTCCGGTCGTAAATAGCTGTCGCGGATAATATGCCTTCGATTTCGACGTATGATTCTCCCCGACTGCAACTTTAATACGTATAATCTTTCTCCTAAAATGTCTATTACTATACCATCGACCCATTTACCATTAATATGTACTTTAATTTTATCACCTATGCTTAAGGGTTTTAGAAACTTACTGCCCCTATCGTAATACCTCTTTTGCACGGTTTGACGGGACTTTAGTATTTCGCGCGCTTGTTGTGTATTAAATAATTTCGGTTGGAGCATTTCCGGAGGACACGGAACTATGCTTCGAAGTTTTCTGTTATTTAAAAGCTCAGCCGGGGAAGGCAAATTTTTACTTATTGGGGTATTTAAGAATTCCAGCAACGCGAGCCTAAAGTTGGATTTATCATACTGCGTTTTCTTGAGCATTTGTTTTACCGTTTGTATTGCTCTTTCCGCTTGTCCATTTGATTGCGGATACCGCGGGGATGACGTTTTATGTCCAAACCTCCAATTGATACAAAACTCTTTAAATATTCTGCTGGTAAATTCAGGGCCATTATCTGACATGACCATGTCCGGGATACCTTGCCTACTGAAAATTATTTTTAATTTATTTATAACGCATTCGGATGTTAGGTTATACAACTTTTCAACTTCTATAAACTTACTAAAATAATCAACGACTAACAAATATGACTTATTATTGAAATGAAATATGTCAATCCCTACTTTAGACCACGCCCTGTGTGGAACTTCATGTGGGATCAGTGGTTGTTTACTATTTTCGTTACGATGGGTGAGGTATGCTTGACAATGCGATATCATATCCTCTATTTGTGAATTTAAATTCGGCCAATACATTATTTCTCTAGCTCTTAATTTCATTTTCGCCGCTCCTAAATGTCCTACATGTATAATTTTTAACATTTCGCGCCTCATACATTTATGTATTACTATTTTTTGTCCTTTCCACACTAATTTGTACGCAACCGTCAGCTCTTCTCTGCTATCCCAGTATGGCTTTAATATGTCAATTACATCCTTTTTGCTGTTCGGCCACCCATTTCTTATTAAATTAATTAGTTCCTGCATTTCATGATCTGATTGAGTAAGCTTTTGCAAACACACGAAATGGGTATCTGTGAGGGGATTAGCAAGTGCAAACGCGCACACTTGCGCCCGGGCATCCAGCTCGTCGCGCGTATCACCCCACTTGTCATTGCTCGGCGCCACAGCACGGGACAGGGCGTCCGCTATGTACAGGTATTTTCCTGGCTTATATACTAACTTAAACGTATAGGGTTGTAATCTTATTAACATTCTTTGCAACCTCGTTGGTGCTGCCGCAAATGGTTTTTTTATTATACTTATCAAAGGCTTGTGATCGGTCTCGATTGTTACGTCACTTCGTCCGTATATATATGAGTAAAATTTCCCGCAGGCAAACACGCAGGCATATAATTCCATTTCTATTTGTACATAAGCCTGCTTGGTTTTCGTTAGGGATTTTGAAGCAAAACAAATTGGCTTACCGTTTTGCATCAGACACGCCTCTAATCCATGTTTACTTGCATCTACGGAAATTGTGATCGGTATGTCTAAGCTGTAAAATTGTAAAACCAGTGGATTAGTAATGCAGCGTTTTAGATCCTCAAAACATTTATCATGAATTTCTTCCCAATGCCATGCTCTATTTTTTTTAATAATTCGCGCAACTTATGTGTTCTATCTGACAAATTAGAGATATAGCTACCTATATACGTTACTAATCCCAAAAACCTTTCTAAATCTTTTGTGTTTTGTGGTTTCGGCATATCTAATATGGGCTGAATATGCGTGTCGTCAGGTTTGATTCCGTTCTGCGTTATTATATGACCTAAATAATTAATTTCCGTTAGTCTTACTTTGCATTTTTTCTTATTTAATTTAACATTAATTTGTTTACATCTCTCTAAAACCTGACGTAGACGAAAGTCATGTTGATTCTTTGAATTTCCGTGTATTAGTAAATCGTCTACAAATAACTCTACGCCTTCTATATCATCAAAATGAGCATATAACCTTTTATGAAAAACTTCCGAGGCCGAGGATATGCCAAAGGGCATACGCAAAAATTTGTATCTCCCAAAAACAGTATTAAATGTACACAGATCCGTAGATTCACTATGCAACTTAAATTTGCCAAAATGAATGTTTACAGTCTAGTGTCGTAAAATATTTGGAACCGGCTAGCTTTGAGGTTATCTCGTCCAAGGTAGGCAATTTAAAATGTTCCCGTTTAATGTATTTGTTTAAATCCCGTGGGTCTAAGCAAATACGGATGTCGCCATTATTCTTTTTTATTACCGTTAAACTATTAACCCAATCCGTGGGTCCTTCCACCTTGGCGATTATTCCTTCCTCGAGCATCTCATCTAATTTCCGTTTCACATCTTCCCTGAGCGCGACAGGTAGCTTACGCGGCGCGTGCACAACTGGTTGTACATCGTCGGCCAGCCTAATCCTGTAAACGCCAGGCAGGCATCCCATACCCTCAAACACTTCTGGATATTCATTTAAAATTTTGCTTGATTGGTGATCCTCAGAGGTCACGTTTATGGCTAGGATCCGTTTGACGAGATTCATTTCTTCACACGATTTCTTACCTAGTATTGGCGGAGAATTAACGTCAACCATTATGAATTTAGCTATATATGATGTATCTTTACATGTAACCTTTACTATACATTTGCCTATTACTTTAAGATTTTCACCCGAGTAACTTATTAACTTCATATGCGTTGGTAAAAGATCACTTTACTTAACACCCGTTAGTGGTAAAAAACGGAACGGCAAGACATTAACGTCAGCTCCAGTGTCCAATATAAAACGAATTTTACCGTTACCTATTTGCAAATCTGTAAACCATTTATTACTAGCGCTCTTAATACTTCTACTACGTACCTGATCTGTGGCACAATCCTGCACCTCAAACACACGACACACTCTTGCGAAATGATTTAACTTTTGACACTTGGCACATCTTTGACCATACGCGGGACATGCAAATTTGTCATGCAACAAACCACAAAAACCACATGACATGTTTCCGTTGCCACGCTTTTCAAGTTTCGCTTGTGTTTTCTGCTGCGAAGGCGCAAGGCGGGGCGCGGACACTGCGGGGGCGCGCTGTTGCTGCAGCGCTCTCGCCTGCGACCTTGACCCATCGCGCGCGCCGCTTCGACGCGTAGCGCACCGGCATACAGCACATGCGCTCGCCTGTTGCCGAATCCAATACATGGCAGACTCACCATCGTCAGCTTTCTCCTGCACCGCATATATATGCGATTCTTTCTCCTGTTCTAACTTCACTGAACTTACCTGTGCTCGAGACATCTCGGCGACGTTGCAAATGTCTAACGCTTTTTTCAATGTAAGATCGTGTTCTCGCAATAATCTCTCCCTCAATGCCTCCTCCCTTATGCCACATATAAGACGATTTTTTATGAGATCATCTTTTAAATCTTTAAATTCACACGAAAGGGACAGCTTGTTCAATTCAAATGTGTATTGGTCGACGGTTTCATGTTCCTGTTGATTGCGAGTAAAAAAACCTCCTTCTCTTTTGTTTGAATTTGGCATGCTTTGTTATATATCATGAAGGCTTTTTTCCATTTTGACCATTGTCTACTTAAATTTCCAGATGTAACACTCGGTAAATCTTTTTCAAATATAAATGGCGGCGGTGGTTGCAGAACTGATTCCATTTTCTTCTCGTGTTCTTCTTTTTGTCCTGTCTATGCACTGTACTCCACTATAACCAAAGATTATTGATTGTCCACTATATCTTTATGCACTTTCCGCGATGTATCCTACCGATTGCGCCATGTATCATTTGTGTTTTTGGGGAGATTAATTGAAACGATACAATAGCATGCATTCGACTGTTTATTTCCACCTACCTTCATTACAACCAAACATTATCTCATCTATATTTACCCACATATACCACTGGTTTTGAAAAACGCGTACGTTTTTACGTGATAGAGCCACGCTGCAGCTATAACAAGGTTATGGTAGCACGGATTGTTTAGCTCAACAGGGTAAGGACCACGCTCTCACAAAGTACCAGCGTGAAATAGAAGCTTAATGCTGCTGTGTTTTGTATGGTGAGTATAGAGAACTAGAGACTCCTTTTTACCGGATACTAGGCATTCCATCTTGCATTTTTATTCTTAATCGAGGATAAATGTAGATGTCCATGGGTCACAGCATCCACTTACCATCAGGTGGACTGTGTGCACGTTTGTCTTCCATATTCTATAAAAAACAGCTTGAATAGAACCAGCAAGAAAACTCAGATTGACTTTTATCATAATGAAATATTTTTATTTTCCATTTGCATTATCGGAGTAAAAGCAATATTGTTTCTTCCGAAAAACATATTTTATTACTGACTCATGTGTTAAAGCTAGAACCGACGTCTGAAACAGATTATTTTCGCTGTGCTAGCGTGTTGATTATAATAGCTACAAGCGGCAACCAAAGATAGTATAATATACTTCGTATGGAAAATATCTTTGGCGGCAAAAGAGGCAACCTTTATCGTTGGAAAAGTTCCGTTCAATTATTAGAAGGTTAATGATCATTTTTTTATAAAACTGAAGTGAAAAACGTACCTTTAGTCCCTTAATTTGAAGTAGCTACTCCAGTTCATGAATAACTGCAGTTACATTCAAACAAAGAATGCTACAGATGAAAGAATGAAAACCCTCTGAATATTACGATCGAATGTCTCTTAGATTTTTTTATTATAGGATAAAATGATCCGGGAGATGTTATTTCGCATGATTTCGAAGTTTGAAGAATAACAGGAGAAAGACGCCCAATTATTCTTAATTAATCAGAAACAAGATTGTTTACGTTTGGATTTGGATTGGATTTCATAAGTTAGTATGACGCTTTGATGTTGATCTAATACTTTGCTTGTATTCGTAATTATTATTTATAATACATTATAATGGTGGTATTTAACGTAATTTAAACAGAATGTGTATCAAACAGAAATAGTTTTTGTTATGCATTGTTGTGCATTATTATGCATTGTGTTGCATCACACAGTCCACCTGATGGTAAGTGGTTGCTGCGGCCCATAGACATCTACATCTATCCTCGTTTGCGAATCAAAATGCAGATGCGTTGTCACTCGTGAGGACTAAGATGGAATGCCTCATTTCCAGTAAAATTTCCGCTTACATTTTCATCCCAATTTTTCCATCAGTTTCTTTCATAACTCTTTCAATTAGTACCTTAGCAAACAGTTTTCCCACAATGCTAAGAAGGCTGATACCACGGTAGTTTTTACAGTCCTGCTGTGATCCTTTTCCCTTATATATTGGGACTATCACGGCTTTGCACCAGTCTCCCGGTACCCGCTTAAGTTCCCAACATAAATTAAACAAGGTGTACAGCAGTTCTGCCACCACTACATCTCCAGCCTTTAGCATTTCGAGAGATACTCTATCATAACCGGCTGCCTTACCTGCTTTCATACTTTTCATTGCTTTCATTATTTCATCTTTACTTATATCTCTATTTCCTCTTCTTTCGGAATTTCTATTTCATTTAATTCAAACGTCTCATCACTCATAAACACGCTTTCAAAGTATTCCTTCCATCTCCTTAAACTCAAAACTTCGTCATTCAGAATACATATTAACTCATGCCTTGTAATATAAAAATAGCTTTAATAAAAATAAGGAGATTCATATCTTTAACGCTAATAACAAACATAAGCTTGTAATGCCAGTTACTAGACTCCACAGTATTAGTAATTCATTTATGGGGCAATGTATACAATTTTACAACAAAATCCCGGAACATGTTCAAAGTTTGTCAATAAACAAGTTTAAAAGTTTTATTAAAGAAAAACTGTACAAAAGGGTTATTATAATATCAAGGAATACATGAATGAAAATAAACCCTGGTAATAAGGTGATCGCCACCATGCTGGTTCTATGAAAATTCATTTAAAATTGTATAAACGAAAGTATTGTTAAGTGAAATTATGTTAAAAAAAAAGTTCCGCTGGGTTTCTTGCTGGTTCTTCCCAGGACAGAGGTGTTTTCCGAACTAATGGTAAATAAAAAATAACATTTCAATAAGTATTGTGTAATAATCAATGTTGAATAAAAATCACTCTATTCTATTCTATTCTATTCTTGAAGACGCCCAGATTGTATTCGGACGGAAAGATGTCCATCCGGCAAATTATACCACTCCTTTGCTGTACGCATTACAAAAGACGAAAGAGAAAGATTAATGCGTGGAATATTGACAACAAAGGGATGAAGACCCGCCGAACGTCTGGTTGTCCGATGGTGGAAAGGAGAGGGAGGAATTAAAGCGTGTAATTCCTGCGCACACTCACCGAAATGCATCCTATAGAATAGCGAGAAAATGGCTACTCTGCACCTGTGCTCGAGGCTGACAAGATTGGTTTCAACCAAATCAAGGCCACCAATGAGCCTCTTAGCACGTTACTCCACCGAGTCCAATGCTGCCAGGTGGCATTTTGCAGCACGAGCCCATATGTGACAGCAGTACTCCATGCACAACCGGACTTGCGCTTTATAATATAAGGTAAGAAGCTGCCCCGGCGTGAAGTACCGCCGCACTATTGCAAGCACTCCAAGTTTCCTTGCGGCTGTTTTGGCTCTGGACTCAATGAACCGCCCATAATTTAGGCTCGGAGAAAATTCAATTCCTAACAACTGAAGGCGGTCATTGTACTCCAAGGATACATTCCGGAAAGTAGGAGCCAAGGTGAGCGGACTCCTTTTAGCGGTAAAAAGACACGCTTGTGTTTTGGAGGCGTTAAATCTCACGAGATTGGCATCGCCCCATTCGGAGACTGCCTGTAGTGTGAGACTCACACGCTCAACCATATCCTCTCTTTCTGACTGGATTTGATCCCGACTGGCCCGAGCGCTTGGTTCAATTCAATTAGGCCAGGGGATAAGCCGTAGGCTGAAAGCTTGCCCAATAGACTACTTGTATATATATTTATACGATTTTGTATTTGTATGTGTGTTTATGTTGTGTATGGTGTATGTGTACTTACGCA